CAGCCAGCATGTCCTGAAGTTCTCCAGAGGCCTGGTAATGAGCTAATCGTTTAATTCAGGTGTGTTGACCCAGGGTGACATCTAAAACCTGCAGGACACCGGACCTTGAGGCCTGGAGTTGGACACCCCTGGTGTAGCTTATCTGTGTAGCCCATTTATGTAAACTTTTAGATAACGACTTATTTAAAAGTGTAATCTTCACGAAGCACACTCTGCTGAATCACAGTATTCACTCACTGTGTCTTCAGGGATTCGTTAGCTTAGCTCAGGTTGTAGTTGACTTGCTAGCAGCATGGCCTCTTCACCTGTCCCTCCTACAACTTCCTGCTCTGTGTGTAAGAAGTTTATTACAAGTACAATGATACTTGTAATAAATGTCACCTGTTTACAGCTTTGGAGGCCAGACTCCACACCCTTGAAAAGCCCGTAGCTAGCCAGGCCCCTGTACTCAGTGCAGGCAAAGGTAGCTTAGCTAGCCAGCGTTAGCTCTCTCCCAGCTGATTGTCCGGAGCAGCTGGGAAAACAAGGTGGCTGGGTCAGGAGGAAGTCTAAACCAGAAGTCCCTGGAACAGCACTGACACGTTCACATCTCGTCTCTTCCTACTTTGCCAAGTGCTGCTTATAGTAGGTCTCACCTTACAATAAGCACCTTAAAACAGAACCTTAATAAATTTTATATAAATAAAATTTAATTGAACTGAATTTAATAAACCATAAACTACTTTTTTTCATTTTAAGAGGTGAACTTTTAGACTATTTTTCTTGCACGTTTTATCTTTAGTTTACACATTTGTGCTTTGTGTAGGGTGTTGAGCAGGATCCACATGCATGCACAGTCAGGGTGAGGCTGTTGTGGAAAATGACTAAACTGCATAGCAACAGGGAGTTTCCTTTTGCAGGAAGAAGACATCTGATTGGAGCAGAGATGAAACATTTGCAAGACACCAGACTGAACACCAAAGGGAGAGCCAAGTCTAAACTGCGGCTCCTCCTCAACTTTTTAACCAATTACATTCATGTATTGTTTTTATTGTATTAAAAAACGTTGGCACGCTTTTGTCCATCCAGCCTGTGACCGTGCAGAGGGACGTCCATGGTGCTGTGAGATTTTAACCTTCAACCGTTTAAAATATTTTGAAAACGTATGTTTCGAGTTTGCTCATCTTCTCCCAGAAATGAACACGACAGTCCACAATTTTAAAAAAAAGTTTTAAAAGGGAACTTATTAACAATATGTGGGAATAAAACTGGTACAGATAAACTTCTGCAGTGACCAGAGGAGCGGCCAGGTGTTGGGTTGTGCCCCAGCTATGAGCAAAGAAATGAAAATAAAATATTCCCTTGTAAAATTATAAAACAGTTAAAGTATTAATGAACTTTTGCTTAGTCCGTTAAAATAATAATAAATGATAAAAGTAATGCGTTGTTTATTTCTGTTTTTCTTACTGACAACAATCAGGAAAACTTAAAAACAAGACTTACACGTTACAACAAAATAGAAGAAAATATGCAAACAGCTAAAACATACAGAGTGATTGGACTAAATGAATGGAGTAAAACAGCCTGTTCCCACTCAGCTGCTGCTACCACGCTAAGGATTTCAACAAAAAAAAAAAACGATGCACACAGCCAGTATTGAAAAGCTGCTCATTAGCACTGCAGACACTCACCAGTTCAACTGTAACATTATTATCGGCTCACAGCTACAGCAGAAAAGCAGAGTGCTGAGATAAAAGCCCTGAACGCCACAGGCCTGAAAATCAGTCATTGCAGAAAAGCAGCTAATTTAGCCGCACGAAAATCCACCTTTTTCCCCTCCTGTCAGCACCGCAGTGACCAGCAGCAGCTGCTATGGTCATGACATTCGTAGAAATCCGTGTGAAGCAGGGCTGGAATTACCGCTGCACATGTGTGACTTTGAGCACAGGAGGGTTACATACAAGTGCTGAAGGTAACCTCCAAGAGAGGAGGAGGAGGAGGAGGAGGAGAACGTGAAGAGCTGACAACTTGTTTGCACTGACAGAAACAGGATGCTAAGTGGACATACGGGGCAAAGAGTGTCCACCAGCTCATCAGTATTTTAGTCACACTGTGCGATTGTTCATTCACCTCGAGCACAGGAGCAGCAGCTTAAAACTGTTGCTGGATACTCAATCAGAGGTTTATACAGATATTTAAAACAAGAACATAAAGAGACAAAAAACAATGACAAAGACACAAAAACTAATCATTAAAAACTTGTTCAGTTTGCGGTCTAAGCGTTGAGAGGCCTTATGACTGTCATAATAAACGTTATATAGAGAGCGAGTTTTCAAAATCAACATTTAATAACAGTGATTGTTCTTTCAGGGTCTGAGAAACAGTGGGATACTTTTCATTAAAATTCACAAAGATGAGAAATTTGACCAAAATATATACTGCTTAAAAAATTAAAGAAAGACATTTTGTGTGGCATCGGGTCAGTTACGTAGCTGAGGGGGGTGTTAATTAGTTTCAGCTGCTTTGGTGTTAATGAAATTAGCAACATGTGCTCTGAAGGGAAAGAGACAAGCCCTAAAACAGGAATGGTTTTACAGGTGGAGGCCACTGACGTTTATTCCCTCATGCTCTTTTCTGATTGTATTTTCAGTGGTTTCCTGTCAATGCAACTACTGGTAGCACGAGGCAATACATAGACCTTACGAAGGTTGCACAGATGTCATTGCAAGAAGGTTTGCTGTGTCTTCCAGCGCAGTCCTGAGAGCACGGAGGAGATTCCAGGAAACTGGCAGCTACTTTAGCCGGACAGGGTCATAGAAGGCCCTTAACCCTCCAGCAGGCCACAGTGGGAAAGTCTCTGACCAGACAATCAGAGGCTGACTTCATGAGGGTGGCCTGAGGGTCTGACATCCTGTATTGGGTTTGTGTTAACTGCCTGGCACTTGAAGTCTGATTGGCATTTGCCATAGAATACCAGAATTGGCAGGTCCACAACTGGTGCCTCTGCTGGGTCTGGAGAACATTGTTGGGCATGACTGGTTTGGTGGTGGGTCAATGTCGGTCTGGGAAGTAAATCCATGGAGGGACTCTGCAGGCCTTCCAACAGCACCCTCACTAACATCAGGTATCAGGATGAGATCCTTGGACCCACTGTTAGGTCCTATTATGCATTAAAAATCAAAATGGGCTCTTTCTGGAGAGTAAAATGCAACATCTCACCATAAATATGAATCAAGAAAAATGTCTCATTTAAATTATATAAGACAAAGCTGACTATCAGATTTATGCGTTCATATTTGACACTTCAGTTAATTTAATTTGCTATTATTGTTATTATTACAGAGCCTGTAAACATACATTCTTCCATACTGCTTGACCGTGAGAGTAGATGTGATATATTTTCAAGCTGACAAGCTGCTGTTCACACCTGCTTCCGCGCACTTCTCCCTCTAATATGACGACATATTAAATTACAGACACTCTCCCATGCTTAGTCTAAATGTGGCACCGTGTATTTCCATACGCCTGTGATGTTCACACGGCCTTCAGTGAGGCATTCGCTGAACTCTGTTATGTGTTAACTTGTAATCAAAGCAGACAAAGCAGACACGTTCCCCCAAGGTGGCTGACTGTCACCAACTTTAGGAGTCATCCAGGCCAAGAAGCATCTAAATGTGAATAATTTAAGCATAAAGCACAGTGCCACTGAGTTAGACCCAGAAACCAATGCCTGTCACTTTGTTTGTATTAAGGTATATACAAAAATGATTTAAATGTATAATTATTATTAATTATTAATCAATAATAATTGTCTCTGGGTTATTAATTACATTTTTGTTTGACTTTTTCTTTAATTATAAGCTTTTTTTTCTATCAGGTGATG